AAGGAGTCACCATTTTTGCAGAGAAAATGGATCCTGATTATCAAGAGGAGGTAGAGCTGGTTAAAACACATGTGGAGCCCCATGACCACTTGGGTGATCATTGGTACTCATCCATTCCTTACCTTTCTCCCATTCTGTTCTATATAGCAGAAGCTGGTTCTTGAGACTATATTTTCTTGGCACCCTTGCCAATTGGCTTCCAGTTAGGTTTGCCAATGGGAGGATGTGGTGGGAGATCAGAGAGGGAGAAGGAATTGAGTAAAGGTATTTCTATACCTTTCTCTACTTAGTACCTACTCTGTGTAAAGGCAGAGGATACAAAATAAGTAAGATATAGCCTTGGGTGGTGTCCTCCAGAAGTAATCTTCAGACATAGTTGTTTTTATTACTTTGAGCAAAAGAGAAAAAAGTGAATCTCTTGTGAAATTGTTCAATTTGTATGTGAGGCCATGGCTATAACCAATCAGAGTTTTCGTCTAAGCGAAAGATTACAGAGAATTATTGTCAGATGCTGGATTTTTCCTTCCAGAGAAATGACAACCCTATACCTTGAAAATTTCAAAAGCAGTCTTCCAAAACCTCTATAAAATATTAAACTAATATACTTGCAATTTTAGTACAAATCAGGAAATGCAGAAATTATAGTACTCATATTAACTGCGTTCACAGGGCGCACATTGTATGACTTTTATTCCAAAGCAGCCCAGTTTGAGAAGTTAATATTTCTTTAGGGACTGAATACTTGTATTTTCCATCTTCTCTGAATTAAGATTAGAAAATGAAAATGAGGGTTTGCATACTGCATTTAAAATACAATTTCTTAACATTGCCAAGATGTTTGGCTGACCCCTGATTTTCTATTAATATTTAAGGGAAAGTATTAAATAGGAAATCATTTTGAGGCAAATTCAAAGACCATATCATGTACTAGAGATTTTATATATTTTATGTTTATAATGCAATAATTTTATTTTGTGACTAGTTTCCATAACATGTTTCTACAAACTAAAAGGCGAAAAATATTTAATTTCTAAAGGCAAGTTTCCTACTTTTTTTTTTAATTTATTTTTTTAGTTTCCTACTTTTTCACTTTTTCATGCTAAAACATTGAACAGAAGAGAATTATGCAGGCTATTTAACATTTAATTACCTTGTTTTTCTCTGTAAAATTTTTCTTATGCTGTCTTTAATTTTTAAATTGTCGAAATATTTTAGATTGGCTTAAATATTTTGGAAAATATGCATATTGATCTGGGAGCTGATAAAATACTTCTGAAAGTCACAATGGCATGTCTGCCTGACAATGTGAAAAATGGACATAAAAATATCCCTAAGTCCTATATTTTTCAACAGAGAAAAAAATACGTTTGTCTCAGAAAATATAGCATATTGGCCAGGTGCAGTGATTCATACCTGCAATCCTTTAGGAAGGTGAGGCAGGACAATCACTTGGTCAGGAGTTCAAGACCAGCATAAGTAACATAGTGAGACCTCATCTCTACAAAAAATAGAAAAATTAGCTGGACATGGGGGCATGTACCTGTAGTCCCAGCTACTCAGAAAGCTGAGGCAGGAGGATCACTTGAGCCCAGGAGTTTGAAAGTACATTAAGCTGTGATCACACCACTGCCCTATGCTCTCATGCCTGGGCAACAAAATGAGATCTTTTCTCCAAAAAAGAAAAAGAAATATTGCATATCAATCTATATGATCTTGATCTTATCACATGGGGACAATTTGAAGAGCTGTGTACAACATACCTCAAAATTGTCCACTTAAAGGATGGATATGGGTGGATTCTTGTGCCCCATTATGTTAACTTCTTCACACTCCCTGGTTTGGGTGTGTATCATCAAAATAGTTGAGTAGGTTCCCACAGGCACTACAGCAAAAATTTCCTGATGCAGAAAGCAAGAAATTTTCACTAGAGTGGAGATAAGGTGCTGTCACGTTACACTTTTGCACAACTGGTTCTCATGACAACAATTAGGCTAGAACTGCATTAACAAGACATGAGGTAGGGCACAAGTGGTGTCTTAACACCCTCTCCTGATGAGTTTTGAAAAATATAACATGGCATAACCATCAATAGATGCAGTTACCTGCAAATGGATAAAGTGATACATGAATACCTAAGATTTATCAAGGGTATTACTATAAGTAAGAATGCCTACCTTTAATGAACCATGTTTGTATAGCTAAAGAATATATTCCATGTTTTCAAGTGTTCATAGGGTCTATGAAGAGGAAAGTAAAAAGTACCATCCAAGCATTGCATACCTTCAGTATAGCTACAAAGTATTGTCACCTGATGAACTGATTAAATATCTAGTCTGTTTAACAGCATGATCTTTAATGAAGAAGGGCATCAGGCAGTCATAGCTCAAAGACATAAACTAGGAGTGCGATATGACCAACTTTACCCATTCTGCTTCCACATTCACCAACCAGCTTTCTGAGGCTTCCTTATAAATTGGTGTACAGGAACTAAATGCACTCATTTTCAAATGAGTAATTTGTGTTCTCTTCATACCTGTATTTATCATTATAAATTTTAAAAATTGAACTGTGCTTTATACATTGGTCCCTTTTTCATTTGAGTAGTATGACATGAAGAACACTGAGCACAGTTGGTGATATTGTTTAAAAATATAGCAAGCATGGATGTAACAAGGAAACCAAGATGGTATGACAAAAAGGGATGTAAAAGATTACATTAAGTTCTAGTATGAAAAGTATTTGAGTAAAAGCTTCTATTGGAAAATAAATAGGCTGGAAGTAACAGAAGGTACAAAGAGTGTGCTGACTCTTCTTCTTGGCTCTGTAGGCAAAGAGAAGGAGGTTTGGGAAATAGTATGGTTTTCAACTACTAGAAGATAGACTGTGAAAACTTTCAAAACTGTGCTTGGCTATTTTGACAGTGGAAGAGGGCTCTAGAAGAGACTGTAGACCAAATTACCCTAAACTTTCAAGTGTAATGTAGAGTAATGGTGCCTTCTACTTCAGAAAAATCGCTTGTCCAGGTTGGTGGCTTAGTTTGATCCATTATCAAAAGTCTTTGGAGATGGGAAATAAAGGTAATTGTAAAGCATTTGGTAAACATAAATTAATATCAAACTCAACATTAGCAACTTTCCAGCAAATGTCTCTGAAGTAAGTGGTGTGTTTTGTGTAAAATTTCATAGAGTGGTTTTTTGATACATTAAAATGTTTTTCTCTTATTACCGATGCTTTCATAGTTGGCTTGATTCACTTGATATCGATGATCTACACTGTAATAAAATTTAAGCAGAGAAACTTAATACAGTCTGAATTAGGAACCACAGCTTCACTGGGACTTAATGTATCATGTTGCAGCATAACATTCTAATATACATAATTTCCTAAATTGTGCATTGACTTTGGGGAGTACTTAAATATTCAGCTCAATTCTCTTTTAAGTGTCCAGAATACAGTTAACAGTATAATGTCCCACATGCAGAAGGTAGAAAAGCTTCCCTCCACACCCATATTCTTCAGCAAAGCCAGAAAATGAAGCAGCAGCTATGTGAAAAAGCTCCCTTGCAGAATTATTTCCAGCACATTTTGAGAAGACACAAAAGGAAGAAGAATCAACATTTTTTTGAATGACTACTATGTGCTAGCCCTTGTACTAGTATTTTATTACACTTTAAGCATCTGTTTAGATATTTATTATTCTCATTTCACTTTTGCTGAAGTTAACACAGCTGTGATGGAACTAAGAATGGAATACAGCACTGTCTTCAATCTGTTCCTTACACTTGACTCTATGTTAAAATCTATGAATGCAGGAGAGGCCTGCCTAAGATTCCCAAAATGGGTATTTTAGCATCATTCCTTTATCAGACAATTCTTTCAGTGCTGTCAAAGTAGACAGGCATTTAAGAAAGGACAGAATCTCTACCACCTCCTTAAAGGCATGAAGCAAGTCATCAGACCAGTTCCTTGCTTTCTTATTGACAATGGTTATAGTTTCAGGAACTGACCAGCCTCTAACAAGTTAAATGGCTGTAAACTCATGAGTGGCAGAGGCCATGACCTTGATTACCAATATCTAATTTATATCTGACTTACAAAAATCTTGCCCACAGTCAAGCCATGATAATATGTAGTAGGTTGTGTTTTAGTTGGTGAATTTTTGCTTCCTGTAAACACTGAAGACTCAAGCCTCAAGTTATTTCAATTATTTATGAAATAAACCAATGCTTATATTAAAACATTTCTTTATTTGATAAAAGTAAATGAAGAAAACATTTGGCAATTGCTCACTTCTACAGTGAATTTGGTTTGGCTTGCTGACTGAGTGGCAAGGGAACTGAATATTTTCAGTTGGCAGTAAGGAGGAGAAAGAATTCATTTTCCTTTTGACATTGTGAGTATAAGGAATGCTTTGTGCTGTTATCCTGATATCCTTACAAGTCAAAATAAGAAAGAAATGGTAACCTACAGCTTTCAGTGGAAGACAATAACTGAGGGGAAAAATAAGTATATTTTCATTCTCAATGAATATATTTCATTCTCAATGAACAAGTATATTTCATTCATTCTCTTATATTTTCATTCTCAAATAAAAGTATACTTTCATTTCATTACTCTCTGTTCATAGGAGGAAGTGGGATTCTCATTTTGAGGTAAAGTATAAAATATTAACTTCATATAGCTTCACAGGCAGACAAATTAGAATTCATTCTAACTTCATGAGGGAGTTAATAAATAGATGTGAAAATAGAAGCAATTACTTCAGATAAATAACTGAGTTACTTTATAAAAGGATGTTCTGTATGCAGCTTCTAGAACAATATCTAATGGTCCCTGATTCTTGGTATCCTCATCTTCGTGTCATCGCCTCTCACTGATTGTGGGCTAGACTTAGTGACTTTCTTTTCATGAATAGAATAAGGTGGAACTGATGATGTATGTTATAAAAGGCAGCATGTGCTCTCTCTCTTTTCCTCCCCCTAACCTGACCCTGCTGTCAGATCCATCATTATGGAGTAAGCCAACTGTCCTGTTGTAAGCAACACTGTGAAGTAAGAAACTGAGGCCTCTTGTCCAACAGCCATGTGAGTGAACTTGGAATTGGATCCTCCAGCCCCATTCAAGCCTTTGGACGACTGTAGCCCCAGCTTACAGTTTGACTGCAGCTTCATGAGAGAATCTGAACCAGAACCAGCCAACTAAGCTGCTCCCAGGTTTCTGATCCTGAGAAACTCATTTTAAGCCCTAAATTTTGCATAATTAGTGGTACATCAATAGATAACTAATATAAGGAGGCAGGAGTCACAACATGGTAGTCTAGCCTGGAAAAGATAGCCAGAAATTCATTTCAACAAGAGGAGTAGACAGAAACATATTACATTTAAGTAGGTCAATTAAAGTAGGTCTTTTTTTTTTTTTTTTTTTTGAATCTCGTTCATCCATTCATAAAGTAGGTCTTGATAATATGTCAAGCCTGGAGGATCAGGGAGCCAGCAAAATTGGCACACTTTAGAAAAGTTGGTACCTAAGTATTTAATTCAAAGGCTGGTAGAAGATACAGGTGAATTTGATCTTAATGGACACAGCAAAGAGAAGCTAGAGTTACCTTACAAATTGAGGGACTCTTAAGATATTTGATGTGGAAGTTGTCATAGTTATCAGAGTTCAATCAATTAAATAGACATCATTGCCACCTTCTAGGAAATCCTAATATTTTTAAATGGATAAGTTGATATAAGCCAGCATATAAAAAGATATAATTCCAGATCCCAGAAGCACATTCCTCTTTCTCCTCATCATTCTCTCTGCCACCATAAGGCTCTCACCACCTCATGTCTATCACTTAATTGCTACCAGGTTGTTTCTTATTCTTTAGACTTGTCCCTTTAACTACACTGTAGGCTGCTTAAGGAAAAGATCATGTCTCCTTCAATAATCCCCTTCCAACCACAAGTTCTTCTTATTTGAAATGTGAGTATATGCGGCCTTATTTCTGTATACCTTCTCTGAAACCACAAGAATTTTGGATCACTATACATGAATCATTTCAAGTTGCTGCCATCTTATCTGTAGTGAGATTTAGGGTCCTCTGGGTTATTTGCTTCTTCCCTCTTCTGCCTCTGTATACTATTAGTTATGTTCTCTCCAATTCTTACAAAGGCATATTATTTTCTTTATATTGTAGGTAGTAGCAGGTGGTACAAGGAATGATGTTAGGTGTTGGGAGGACATACTGCCATGGAACAGATAGACATGGACCCTGCTTTCCTATCATTTGCTACCCAGGTAAGTCTGTGCAACATTAGGAAAAAAGTACTAATAATAAACACTTAAGCTGTCGCAGCTCTCGGGCATGTTCGAAGGCAGTATCAGTCATGTGCCGAGATGTCGCCCAGTGGGGGATCCATTTTTTGATCAGACACTATCAGTACATAATATTTCTCACCAAAGAAGGCTTCATAGGATCTTCTTATATGGAATGCTTTTCAAGATAGAAAAATATGCTCACATAAAAGGAGACAAAGCACAAGAATGTTAGAGGGACAGAAAAAAGTAGTGTCTTCAAAGTAGGCAGCTAGCAACTGTCATAGTATATTGAAGGGAGAAAAGACCTTGAAAAATGACTCCTAAAACCTAGATCTCTAAAAAATTTCATTTGAACAAGTAGATATATAAGGCGTAATTCTAAAAGACCTTAACACATGTCTTAAGTGATTGACTATAATTTTATACACTGACTTTTTTTTTAATTCATTAGGTGTCTGTTTAAAGTTGTTTATTCCAGGAATCCCTCCAATGTAGTCAAATAGTTCCTTGTTTTATTCTTAACATAATTTAAAGTAATTTCATGTCTAATTCTCCCTTTCTACTTATAAATTCTAGGCTTTTACTGAGAGCAGTGAGCTTTCTTGGTTAATTTTGTACTGACAGTCCCTAGCATAGTGCCTCATACATGAAAAGCAGACTAAAAAAATGTGTGGAATAAATAAATGGAGGTAAAATGGATTATCAAAAAAAATCCTAGTTATTATATGCATGCTTTCTTTAAAAAGATAAACAACAGACCTAAAATAAATGAAATCAACATGTAAGGCTATTCAAGCATTTCTGATGATAAATAATCCTGCTAGAAGCAAAAGCATTTATTAATTATTTTTCATTCATTTCTTCATTTATTACCTTCCTTCCTCATACTCATCAAAACCAGATTTTTCCTCTCCTGTTTGGCCTCTGAAACCTTCCTGGGGGACTCTTCCTAGGTTTGGTCCTGGCAGAGAGACTTAGTATTCCCAGAACTCACTCTCTTATCTTTTGCCCTGAAGGGTCTGATATTAAGCAGCCCAGCTTGTTCATTCATAACAGGGTGAAATGTTTGAACTTTATTCTACCAGTAATAGCCACAAAAGATGTATGAGCAAAGAAGCAACTTTACAAAGCAGAGTTCAGGAAGATTCTTTTGTTGATAGTGATTAGAACTGCTTTTTCTCTGGAGGGTCTGATGTTGAACAGCCACAGGTTTTGAGAGGAAGGCTATGCAATGAATGTTAAAGGATGGGGAGCAATACAGTGTCTCTAGTTGGTTCCAAGAGTGTTTCATTGGTATGAATTCAGTGAAGGGGAGATGATATGGGACGGCAGGTCAGGAGGCCTTTCTTAGTGATAAAAGGAAACATAATTACCTTTGAAGGATAGAAAGGATTTAGATAAGTAATAGTGCATATGGCTTGTTTACAGGAAAACAGAGAACAGCTTGATTGTAGCGGTGGTTCTTAACCTCAATTTCTGATTTACTTGAACTCTGTAAAATGAAAATTTATGTGATCTGTCAAATGCCTTTCAGCCAAAGACCACTAGGAACATACCTGTAGCTAAAGGTTGATTTTACTGATTCATTGCAAAGAAGGAAACCATCACCATGCAGAACCAGGGAGTACCTCAGTAGAAGGATGTTAGAAAGGATTTGGGCTTGTGATAGGCGGTCTTGGGAGGGTCCAAGGAAGCAGGGCTTTGTTCTGGATTAAATACTGTCAGGAACCAGGGATAATTCTATGATTGGATACCTTAATAAATTTTACCTAGAATGTGGGAAGAACCACTCAATGCTAAAACTGTGATTGATAAACAAGAAAAAATCAATCATACTAGCCAGGATGGGAAATATTTAGCAGTCTTGTGGTTCAGGCAATGTTCCTGTTTTTGTCTGTGCTCCTACTTGAGTACAGACTGGTCATCAGGATCACTGAGTGGACTTATCTAATACTGACATTCTGTGAAATTGCTTGTAATTAACAGAAGAACACCATGACCTAGCTGTGGGTGCCAGGCCAGCTCTTAGATGTCAGGGACTGCTTTCTAGTTTCTCAGATACAGCTCAAGATATTTATTAATTGGTAGACAAGAATCTATATCTCCAATAAGATACCTATCTGATTCTGACTGAGGAAATCTGAAGACCATGCTTTGAGAAACATTCCTACAGTAGGCGGCGGGTGGATTGCTTGAGGTCAGAGATTCGAAACCAGCCTGAGCAAGAGCGAGACCCATCTCTACTATAAATAGAAGAAATTAATTGGCCAACTAAATATATAGAAAAAAAAAATTAGCCGGGCATGTGGTGCATGCCTATAGTCCCAGCTACTTGGGAGGCTGAGGCAGGAGGATTGCTTGAGCCCAGGAGTTTGAGGTTCCTGTGAGCTAGGCTGATGCCACGGCACTCACTCTAGCCTGTGCAACAAAGCAGACTCTGTCTCAAAAAAAAAAAAAAAGAACTTCTACTCAACAACAATAACCTGATTTAAAATGTGCAAAGGGCTTCAATAGATATTTATCCAAAGATGATATACAGTGCTTGCTTTGGCAGCACATATATCAAAGATGGTATAAAACATCCAATAAACATATGAAAAGATCCTTAACATCACTAATCATTAGACATTGCATTAGAGAAATGCAACTCAAAACTACAATAAGATATCACCTCACATTCTTTGATCTACTATCAAAACCAGAAAATAAGTGTTGGCAAGGATGTGGAGAAATTGGAACTTTGTGTACTGTTTGTGGTAATGGAAAATAGTGCAGCCCCATGGAAACAGTATGGCAGTTCCTCAAAAAATTTACTATGGAATGAGCATATAATCTAGCAATCCCTTTCTGGGTATATATTCAAATAATTAAAAGGTGGATCCCAAAGAGTTATTTGCACACTCATGTTCATTGCAACATTATTCAACAGGTGGAAGAAATCCATTGTCCATTAACAGATGAATGGGTAAGTAACTGTGATATATACACATAATGGAATATTATTGCGCATTAAAAAGGAAGAAGATTCTGACACATTTACTGACATGGATGAACCTTGAGGATTATGCTAAGTGAAATAAGCTAGTTACAAAAAGACAAATAACTGTATTGACTCCACTATCTAATGTAGTCAAAGCTGTCAAATTCACAGCAACATAAAGTAGAATGTGGTTGCCAGGGGCTGAGAGGATGGAAAATGGAGCATTGTCTAATGCTATGGTCCCCAAACCACACCCCACACCCCAGTCCCTAGGCCATGGATGGCACTGGTCGGTCCGTGTCCTGTTAGGAATTGGCTGCACAGCAGGATGTGAGCTGCGGGCTAGCAAGCGAGCTTCATCTGTATTTATAGCTGCTCCCATTGCTTGCATCACAGCCTGAGCTCTGCCTCCTGTCAGATTAGTGGTGGCATTAAATTTCTGCATTATGATGAGTTATATAATTATTTCATTATATATACAATGTAACAATAATAATAATAGAAATAGGTACACAATAAATGTGCACTTATTTTGAATCATCCCCAAACATCCCCACCCCAACTTCCAGTCCATGGAAAATTGTCTTCCATGAAACCAGTCCCTGGTGCCAGAAAGTTGGGGCCGCTGCCTAATGGGTATAGAGTTTCACTTTCATAAGATGAAAAGTTCTGGAGATCAGTACACAAATATAAATATACTGAACTATATACTTAAAACTGGTTTTAAAATTATCAAATTGTCTGTTTTAAAAATGTGAGTTATTATGTCAATTATAGATCTAAAGCTATTTGAAAAATATATTAGTATTTATAACTTCAGCAAGTGATTAAGAATACAAATTCCAAAGTCAGACTGCCTGGCCTCAAATCCCCCGCTCTGTCACCTGTTATGAGTGTGATCTCGGTCACATATTTAAACTCTGTTCCTCAGCTTTCTCCTCTATAAAATAAGGTTTATAATAGTACTATGTAGATAATATTCACAAAGCAAGATCTAGTCGTTCTTGAGCTATAGAAATGCAATGATCTGTCAATATCACTTGATGTATCTCATACATATACAGATTGTCCCTAACTTGCAATGGTTCAACTAATGACTTTTTTGTCTTTAAAATGTTTGGGGGACACCTGAGGGGAGAGAGGCAGGCAGGGCAATGTTTGCAACCCAGCAATATTTGTACCCCATTATATGATGAAATAAAAGGAAAAATAAAATAAAATAGTTTGGGGTATTACATACATTTTTGATTTGTGATATTTACTTATGATGGTTTATCAGGATATAGCCCCACTGTAAGTTGAGAGCATCTGTACATGTTAACAGAGATTATGTCTAAGTGGCTGTCCTACCAGAGATGTTAATTTATTTCTTCTCAGCTTATTTTTGTATTACATACATTATGATTTTTATAATAAACCAATAAAAGTTTTTTATGCAACGAAATAAGTCAGATGTTCCGAGAAAGATACACATATATGCTATCTTTCTCTCTTCCAATAATAGTTATCATATTAAAATACCTTCTGAATATAATAAAATGGTTCTTGTTTGCTCAAATATGATTGCCCAGTATCGACAAGAGAGACACTCTAAGCTAATGGAA